GCATGACACAATTGTACCCGTTACCTCCTAGATGCACGCACAAAAAAATCCGCAATTTTTTTCAACCCACGAGTACCCATTTGATGTCCGTTTTCAACCCATAAGTATTTTTAAAAAATTATTTTATAAGCTTTTCAATGAGGTTGAATATTATCTTCTCCCTTCAATCCATATTGTGTGCAAACTTCCTTCCATCATTTTACAAACTTTGTGGAATTATGTGACTTGGAAATCAACACTTTGTACATAAACCCATCCTAATGGCAAAGCATTAAACCTCCACCAATCCTTTGTTCTTCATGAAGGCTGCAAATCTATTTTGCAAGTCACACTCCAACACAAACATGAAATGATTGACGACATACCAAATGACTTCTTTGTGATTGAACTGAACAAACTGTGTGAGATTTTTGAAATAAATCTGCAACCACAACAAAAGTCCAAAATTTAAGTTCTTGCATTCAAAATAAAGATAATTGAATCACAAATTCAATGCAAAAAAAAAAATCAACTAACTTGGATAACTATATAGAAAGTTATAGACCAAACAAGCAGCAAAGGTCAAATCTATCAGCATTTAACTAGAATTGAAATGTACAAACTGTGTGGGATTTTCGAAATCAAACGATAACCACATAAGAAGTCCAAAATTTAAGTGCTTGCATTCAAACAAAAGATAAGTGAATCAGGAATGTAATCTAAAAAAAACTAAATCATATAACTATAGAGAAAGTTATAGACCAAACAAGCAACCGAGGTCAAATTTGTTAGCATTTAAACCATAATTTAACTCTACAAGCTATATGGGATTTTTGAAATAAAACTACAACCATAGAAGAATTTCAAAATTTAAGTTCTTGCATTCAGATTAAAGAAAATTGAATCAGAAATGCAATGTAAAGAAAAATCAACTCAATCAGATAACTATAGAGAAATTTATAGACCAAATAAGCAGCAGAGTTCAAATTTCTCAACATCTAATCCATAATTGAACTCTACAAACTGAGATTTTGAAAATAAAATACAACCATAATAAAAGTCCAAAATTTAAGTTCTTGCATTCAAATTAAAGGTAATTGAATCAGGAATGAAATGAAAAAAAAATCAACTCAATCGGATAACTATAGAGAATGTTTGATGGAAACCTAACTAGAGCATTCAAAGTAGTACCAACTTAAGCTAAGGCTAAGAAAGGGAAGTTGATGAAGGACTTTTAAAGGCTCTTTCTTGATTTTCTTTCTCTAAGTCTTAGAAGGATTATCTTAATACTTATATTGTTGTTTTGTATGGTCTAATAAGGCTAGGAGATCATGGATCAACCAACCAAGAAGCTTGATAAATGAAAGGTAGTGAAGGAACCAAGCTAGGAAGGAAAAGGAGTGAATTCCATATTTGGCAGCATGGCTTCCGGATTGGATTTATGAAGAGATTTGGCTTCCGAAATTGGATTTCGCCTAGCCAAAACCACTACGCGCCCAACCACTACGAGAGGCATTTTTCATGTGATGACTTGGTTGTTCATGTAAGCAAGCCTAGCTCATGTGCTTTGACAGCTGGCCTCTCCAGCTAGTTTCATTTGAATTTTTGGAGGGAATTTGGCAGAGGTTAGAGGCTCCTCTTCACCTATAAATAAGAGAGCCAATCTCTTGTATTTTTCACTTTTGAGCTTAGTAAAATGCTGTTGAAATTGCTTTCCAGCCTTATTGCTCTTGAGTCATTCTTGATTTTCGATTTCTCTACTCTTTCCTATAGCTTCCTTCCTTTATAGGAGGGCTTTCTAAGTTGAGAGGCCTCATACACTTACCTTCCATTCATTTGAACACATCAAACACCTCATTCCTCTACATATTTACGTTGAATCTTCATTCACCACTGTGTGACTCTCTTTGGAGCTGCTGCCTGCATGGTTTTAGCTGGTAGTGGTTTCCATCAAGTGGTATCTAGATATTAGGTCATCTACACACCAGGAGCTAAGTCATTTCCTCCATTTTATACTCCATTTCTGTATTTTGTTGTCATTCTGTTCAATTTTTCTTTTCCAACATTGTTTCAATTTCTTTGGTTTTGGTTCTTCTTAATTTTGTGTGTTTAATCATTGATTGATATGTTTCCATTATATTATCGTGTTTATCCTTCATTTTAAACGGTGAATCTTTTGTGTTTGAGTCATTTTCATCTTTTTTTAATTCCAAGTTGTCATAAGTCATGTGCATCCTGATGTAGTTTTACATCTGTTTTTGTTTTTAGTTAATCTAATTTTGCTGTGTATTTTCGTTCTAATCTAGTTTTGAGTGTTTGAACAACTTTACATCAACTAAATAAGTCAATGAGATCATGTTATAGCTTTGGTGATACAAGCTGAAACACTAGAAATCCATTCTGATTTCAATTATGTGTTAAACTCTGTTGGAGAATTTTGATTCTGTTTTAATTCATGAAATCGTTTTCTAGATGATTTTTTTTTATTCTGGTGTGTTATACAAACTTGATTGATGTTCTTGAAGGTTGCTAAAAGTGTAGTAGACCATCACAAGCAATGAAGTGCAATGTGTAAAGCTTGGTTGCTCACAATTAATAACATCTCATTGTTTTAGTTTTAATCCAAGCTTTTCACCGTGCTAACACTCTTTGACTGGTCCATTATGAGTTTTGAGTGTTTGAACAACTTTACATCAACTAAATAAGTCAATGAGAACATGTTCTAGCTTTGGTGATACAAGCTGAAACACTAGAAATCCATTCTGATTTCAATTATGTGTTAAACTCTGTTGGAGAATTTTGATTCTGTTTTAATTCATGAAATCGTTTTCTAGATGATTTTTTTTATTCTGGTGTGTTATACAAACTTGATTGATGTTCTTGAAGGTTGCTAAAAGTGTAGTAGACCATCACAAGCAATGAAGTGCAATGTGTAAAGCTTGGTTGCTCACAATTAATAACATCTCATTGTTTTAGTTTTAATCCAAGCTTTTCTGCACTTTTTGATATAACAAAGTCAAGTTTTGAGTGCTAGCATTTCTATGTTGTGTAACAGTTTGAACAAGTCTAAAATGATGTTTAAAAGTTGTTAGCAGAGTTCAATTATTGATATAATGGTCCAAGTACAAAGTTGAGAAATGACAAGGTGTTTTTGAGTAAAAATTTGGATTCAAGCCAATTCAAAGTTTGAACACATTTAAAATAACTAAATAAAGTTGTTGAAGTGATAAGTTTTGAGTTAGAGTCACTATTGTACAAATTTGAGTTTCAAACCACGAATTTCAAGCCAATTTTATGGTGCAGTGTTGAAAACTGAATCTGTTTTGATGATTTAATCTTCAAAATTCAATTTGGATTGCAACAAGAGTTGGTTCATTGTTCTAGATTGAAACAAAATGATCAAAAGAAGTCATATTAAGTGTTAAAAGGCTTGTAGAACCGTGCAATTCACTTTCAAGCAATTAAAACCCCAAAACACAAAATTTGGTTTTCTTTGAAGCACTTCATCAAACACTTTTGCTTTTATCAATCAGTTTCGTGCTAACTATGTTTTTCAACCTGCATTTTAACTTTTCTTGCTTTCTTAATCTCTTCTAGTGCCTTTATTAAGTTCTTTTTTGAGTGCTTGTTGTTTTTCCATCCCTGTTCTAGTCGAATTCCTCATTCTTGACTTCTAAGTTGTCAAAAATCAGAAAAATTGATTTGCTGAATTCTGGTGCAGTGTGCTAAATCTGTTTGGTGTTGTTTGAGTTGGTTTTTGGAGGTTTGTGACATCTCTTTGAGGCATCCAGAGGCAGAAACCTGTACCTACTAAGGTAGCTTCTTAGCAAATGGAAAGGGAACTAAAATTGGATCAAAGAAGGGTACTCTGTAAGAGCTGCATTTCGGCTGTTCCAGTACCTTAAAATTCACCAAAAAGGCTTACTTTGCAATCTGTTTTGGAGTTGTAAAACAACCAAAGCTTGAAGCCTATACTACTTTTAGGCATCATTTTGAGTTTAATTGAGCTTCTATATCATAGAACATTTGCTGTTTTGTATTATTTCTTGTATTAATTCATCTTATCCTTCAATATAACACAAACCAATACCTACATATTATCACAATTTTATTTCTAAATAAAGCAAAAAAACAAGAGAAAAGAGAAAAATCAGTTTGAGATTCAATATCAGAAATTTAAAATAATTAGTGCTTTCGAAGAACAAATTTGTTGTCGGTGAAATAGTTGCCCACGCTCTTTGTCTCTGACGAAGTACCGGCGGTGCTGCAAGGAAGACCCCAAGCAAAGTTAGCGAGAATGGCTTCCGATCTCGCGAGTGAAAGATGGCGTCGGTGGCCACGTCCATGAACGAAAGTGGCTCAAGTGATCTCCTGCTTGCAGTGATGGAAGAAAATGTGGCTACGGTGGGGAAAGGCCTAAGCCTTGCTACAAAGGAAGAAAAGAACGTTGGTGAGCGCTCCGGTGGCGACAACGTCGTTGCCCATGGCTCTGATCAAGGAGGAATATTTATGAAGAAGATGAATTCAGAACCAAATGGGAGGAAGATTTTAGAATGTAGAGGTTCCAATTTGGAAGGAAACCCTTGAAAGAACGAAATTTCAATCTCTCACGTTATTATCTATTGCTACCTTGAATTCCACGTCAGCAAAAAATATAACTAGACCAATTCTAATTTGACACGTGTTGAAGTTAAAAAGTTGTAAGAAAAAGAGTCAAAATATCATTATCCATTTGTTATTTATATGTTTGTAAGCGTCCTTGATAGTAAAATTATTATTTAAATAATTACTAGAATTTGTGAATTTGTTTTTAAACATTAGGTTATGTGACATTATTTAAAGATACTAAGTGTATGTAAAATAAATTTGATGGGTTTGAAAAGTTAGATGAATCTAGAAACATAATAATAATGAAAGTTGGATGATGATAACGAATAAGCTTCAAAGTAGTAATGTTGAATAAAAAATAGTAAAAAGAGAAAAAGTCCAAAAAATCCCAACACTAGAAAGAAAAGTCACGGAAAACACAAGCAGTAGAGCTGCATGTATGTATGTATAATGTATCTATCCTTTGCAATCACGAAGGGACCCTTCCCTCTCTCTCTTCTCAACCCGCCATCGAACTCAACCACCGTCACATAATCATCAATTTTCTCCCCCCTTAAACCATAACGCATCCAAATATCGATCAAATTCCACATTTCAAGGTTAAGCAAAACATACGAATAGTTTTGGAAGAATTAGAAAGAAATTGAGAAAGGAAGAGAGAGTGTTACAGTGGAGGAAGTAGTGGTGAGAAAGAAATGCCAAGTGTGGCCGTCAAGCTCTACAGCGTGTTCTTCAAGTTCCTCTTGAAGCACCGTTTGCAGAACCGGATCCAAACCTCTTCCCAACACTCCGACTCATTCGGTATTACCACCCGACCCGAAGAAGTTGTAGCCGCCGCTAATCCCTCCTTCGCCGACGGCGTCGCCACAAAAGACATCCACATCGACCCCTTAGCCTCTCTCTCCATCCGAATCTTCCTCCCCGAATCGGCCCTCAACGCTCCCGAGTCTCGTTCCAAACCTAGGACTCGCTCCATTCCCGAGCCTCAGCCTCGATCCGCTCACCTCGATTCAATCACACGGAGGAAAAGCTATGGTCCGCCTCTCCTGGAGGAGCGCCGGAGCAACAGCTTCGGAGGGGGCTCCGGCGTGGAGTGTTTGAACCTGATGACGGAAGGCACGTACCTCGGCTACTCGCCGCCGTCGGTGGCGCAGGGGGAGAGGCGGAGGCTACCTGTTGTCCTGCAGTTCCACGGAGGGGGGTGGGTTAGCGGAGGTAGCGATTCGGTGGCGAACGATATTTTCTGCCGGCGGATTGCCGAGTTATGTGATGTGATAGTGATTGCAGTGGGGTACCGGCTGGCGCCGGAAAACCGGTACCCGGCGGCGTTTGAGGACGGCGTGAAGGTGCTGAATTGGCTGGCGAAGCAGGCAAATTTGGCCGAATGTAGCAGGTCGATGAGTGGTGGGAGGAGTGGTGGGCATGGTGGTGGTAGTGGTGGTGGGGAGTTCAAGAAATCGGATGCTCATAAGCATATTGTTGGTTCCTTTGGGGCTTCTGTGGTTGAGCCTTGGCTGGCTGCTCATGGTGATCCTTCAAGGTTGTTACTATTTCATGATGATTGTGTTTTATTTATTTGTTACTGTTATGTAGAGTTCATGGTTGTCTGATTAATGATTTATGAATTCAGGTTGGAATTTTATCTTTAATGGTCGTTTTTCTTGACTTGTTATTGAACTTCATTTTCTTGTGTTGTTGTTTAGTGTGTGTGTCTGTAAACATTTTCCATTGCCTCTTTGATATAGAGATAGTGATTAGCTAAAGAATGAAGGTCAAGGATCCTTCCTGAATTGGGGAGGGAGAGTTTGTAAATGAAAGTAGTTTGGGACTAGTTTAAGTTGAACACCAAAGTTTATGTTAATTACTCAGAGGCAATGGATTTGATTCATCTGAGTTTTGAATTGTATATGGTTGGATAAAATCTAGGACTCAAGATGAGAGCTTTCTTGTGACAATGTTTGATATATTTGCAAGGTCACATTTTATGGACGTTTTAGATTTAGGACAAACAGTTGTTAACTTTTTTTACTTATTCAATAATTCCCGAATTTTTATCTTAAATGAGGTCTATGTCTAACCTCAGTTGTGCGTAAATCACATTTTGGTGCATATTCTGGTTACAAACATATAGATCTGGTTGGCTGAAACATACTACTGGGAATGGATTTCTCTAATATTGTTTATATGTTTATATTAGCATTATGTGTTCATAGGTCACTTATAATAAGTACTATGAAAAATACAAACACATTGAAAGAGAGCTGATAAAGTGATGACTGATGATGACATGCCAAGTATTCATATTCTGGAGAGGTTACTTGTTGGCCGAAACAAGTCATTCTTCATAACTGTTGAAGGAATTAAAGGGAGACATGTAGTGCTTAAGCAACACTTTTGTGGATGCCTTTATCCTCAAATTTCTTTTGTTCTTTCTTGTTGTCTGATGGTTTGTTATTCTCAGTATTGAATTTCTGTTTTCCTTCAATGATGGAAGACTCGTGCATTAAGACACTCTTCTAAACTAATCTTTCAGTTGTTGGCCACCCCATCTCAACTATATCTTCTACACTAAATGATTATGTAGCTTCCTTTGATAAAACCCAATATTAAATTGATGAAGCTTGGTTATAGAATCATTGACAATATTTATAATTAAATATCTTAATTTTTTTCTCCAAAATAGTTCTTTTCAAATAATGATCACTAATAATGGGAAGACATTGGCTATGATGATACGGTGAATTGAGAAGATGATTGTTTGACCAAGTCTCTAGCTATTAACTCTAGCATGTCGAACATACTGGGATACGTTGCCTTTCTAAAAGGGGAGATTTCTAATATTCTCTCTATGTAGAGGTAGCTTTATAACCATTCATATATAATTTGGTAATATTTTAGTTTTATATTATGGTTATATGGTCCCATTCCCACTTGTTACATTCTGAGTGGAATGGTGTGATTATGAGAGTGACTAAAAATCTCCTCTACTAGGGCACTTGTATGTGTGCATTGGGAGTTAACAATTTCCTAAATATTCTTTTGTATTGTTGGTCACACTAATTTCTTTCCGATATGCTTCCTTTGGATCTAGCTGTCAGATAGTCCTCATAGTATTTTCCTTCTTTAGGGCTTAACATTTTTATTTTTCTTTTAATGTTGAAACAGATGTGTTCTTCTTGGAGCAAGTTGTGGTGCCAATATTGCAGACTATGTAGCTCGTAAAGCTGTGGAAGGAGGCAAACTTCTGGACCCTGTCAAGGTGGTAGCACAGGTTCTACTGTATCCATTTTTCATAGGAAGTGTTCCCACACGGTCTGAAATAAAGTTGGCAAACTCTTACTTTTATGACAAGGCCATGTGTATGCTTGCATGGAAACTTTTCCTACCTGAGGGGGAATTTAGTTTGGACCATCCATCTGCTAATCCCCTTGTCCCGGGACGGGGTCCTCCTTTAAAATTGATGCCTCCGACATTGACGGTTGTGGCCGAACATGACTGGATGAGGGATCGTGCCATTGCATACTCAGAGGAGCTCCGAAAGGTGAACGTGGATGCACCTGTTCTTGAGTATAAGGATGCGGTACATGAATTTGCAACACTTGATGTCCTTCTCAAAAGCCCTCAGGCCCAGGTTTGTGCTGAAGACATAGCCATATGGATGAAGAAACATATTTCTCTTCGGGGTCATGAATTCTCATATTGAGTAGGATATAGCGGATTCAGATGATGATTAAGCTAGAAGATATTTACCCCACATGGGATCTGAGATATATTATTTGATTGGTTTTGATTCTTGATAAGGTGTTTGATGCTAAATGGTTCCATGTTCACCTGGCCAGTTTATTATTTTTTGGTTTGTAAAATAGAGTTGGCTGAGTAGGATTAGTTGAGCCACCAAGATGTATTGACTCGTACATACTGCACTGACCAATCTTGTGCCATTCTTTCTGTGTATTATGATGTCTTTTTTCTCTCTAAAAAAAATTATGGACCATATTAAGGGTGAGTATATGGTATCCATTTCATCACCCAATCTAAGATCCTCCAAATGGTGTAAGGTACGTTCATTACAAAAATGAATTTTGATATTTATTATTTTCGACCTTTGATGTCGGTCCAAACTCACGTTTTAGTCGTCGACGTTGAAGGACACCGACGCTAGGTGTAACCGATGTTGCCGGTGGATAGAAAAGAAACCGACATCTAGGGTATTGAGCGATAGAGCGATAGAATCTGGACCATTGAGCATGAATTTTTGTGAATGCCTTGGTATTAAGCAGAAGTGGGCACCATTGAGCGTTATCTATGTATTGAAAATGGGAAGCAATTGATGTCAGATGTGGTATTGAGTTGTAGTATTAGTATTGACGGACGTTAATTGACGTTAAGCATTTTGTTTTAAATTAATTTATTTGTTTTTACAAATGTTCCAAACCTAAAAAGTAGAAAATATTTATCACAAATTCGTATTGAATGTTTCCAAATTCAAGATTAAAAGTATAAAGTAATCAAAACTAAGAATAAAACTAAAGTTATCAATAGTATTAATACTAGACTAATGAATTTTTCTGAAGAATAATATAATTGTTGTTATTACGGTTTTATCTCTTGTCATATCTTTTTCATTGTGTTATGTGTGATAGATTATTATTGAAGTGTTGTAAAAACAATAAAACTTTATTATATTTGTATATTAATATTTAAAATTTAATGTAATTTGTAACATGTGGAAGGTAACCTTCTTCTTAACTATCACCTTGTGCAACAAGCCTAATTTTGTTCTTGGTGATATTTCCATTTTCATTAGTTTGTTTCTTAATATTCATTTTTTTCTTATTACTTGATAAGTGTTTTTTCTAGAGATTAATTTCCTCACTTGATTTCTTTCAAACTGGTTAAGTTCTTCTTGTATTATTATACGCCATAGATCGTCTTAAAGAGCTTTCTTTATGTTTTTAGGTTCTAACTATGAAACAAAAGCCATAATCATACAATAATTAGCTAAGTTTCTTCGAGTACTTACCCCTTCTGTGACATCTTCAATAACATTGTCTAATGATAGTCCTCGAGGTTGTTGCTATGTCTTAGCTAAAACTTCATGAAGAGAATTATTCTTCTTTTCTTCATTTGTTGTCTCTTTCAAGTCTTCTTCTTCACCTACATCCGATTCATCTGACTCAAGGGGTTTTTCCTCATGGTCCACAATTTCATCAAAGACAACATGTATGAATTATTCTATTTCACACGTTCTCTATTGGAAGTCCCACATCGACTAGAGATAAGGCCAAATTATAATATATAAGTAAGGTGCAAACCTCACCTTACAAGCCAGTTTTGTGGGGTTGAGTTAGGCTTCAACCCACTTTCCAATATGATATCAGAGTCATGGTTAGAGCCTATCCTAGCGATATTTCTTATTTTTTGGGCCTTTCTATTCCACCCGTTGTCGTGGCTACTATCGGACCACCCATTAATTTTTACTCTCAAATGTCTATACCTCGGCGTGAAGGGGTGTGTTGGAAGTCCCACGTCGACTAGAGATAAGGCCAAATTATAATATATAAGTGAGGTGCAAACCCAAGAAATATAGCTTCATCGGATTTATAATGAAATTTCCCAAACTTTTGTTTTTCATTATTTAAAACAAAACATTTGCATCCAAATATTTTTAAATGAGAAGCATTAGGCTTTCATCCTTTAAGGAGTTCATAAGGAGTACATTTTAAAATATGTCTAATAATCATTCTATTTAAAACACAACATCCAATACTCACAACATAACCCAAAAATGTCATGGAAATTTTGATTCCTTTAATAAAGTTATTGCAAGTTCTTCTAAAGATCTATTCTTTCTTTCTACTACTCCATTTTGTTGTGGAGTTCTAGACACAAAAAGGTCATGAGAAATTCCAAATTCTTCACAATAGTTTTCAAATAATTCAGTTTGAAATCCCCCTCCATGATCACTTTGAACATGTTAATTTTAAAATCTTTTTCATTTTGAACTTGTTTTGCAAACTTTTTAAATACTTTAAAAGTTTCACTTTTTAGAGTAATAAAGAACGTCTATGTATATCTTGAATAGTCATCAACTGTAACTAAAACATAATAATTTCCCCCAAAACATTTTATCCTTGAATGATCAAATAAATCCATGTGCAAAAGTTCTAAGGATTTTTCACTTGAAACAATATTTTTCAAATTAAAAGATGATTTAATTTGTTTACCCTTTTGTCATGCATCACATAATTTGTCCTTGACGAATTTTAGTTTTGGTAGAACAATTAATAAGTCTTTAGATATAAGTCTATTCAATTGTTGCATATGAATATGAGCAGCTTTCTTATACTACAACCACGGATTTTCTTCTCTTACTACTAAACATGAAATATTTTTATTAGATACATTTTCTAAATCAATTAAATAAATATTTGCATGCCTAATGTTACCAACAAGAAGATGGACATCTTGCTTCAATAAAGGATTTTGATGATGATGTTTCATGGAGAAGTGTTGCAAAATTAAAGAAGTGCTTGGTTTCAAGAAATACTTTGAAGACTCATTATTTAGTTGTTAAAGATTTATAATTTGTGTATTATAATTAATGTAGTAGTTCAAGAGTCAATAGGTAGAACCCAAGAAGTAGAGCATTCAGAAAAAGTTTTACTTTTCATAAAAATCTATGTGCTAATCGATTAGCACTTAGGATAATCGATTATCCCGGAAACCATGAATTACCAAGGTTCGTAGATAATCAATTATCACATATGATAATAGATTATTAATGGTGAATATGATTCTTAGTTTTCTGACCTAATTTTCAAATGCAAGAGTCTATAAATAATTAACGTAAATATAACTTAAAAAAAACTTTTCACTAAAAGTATTAGAGTTGTGAAACTCTATGTGTTTGTGAAAAGGGAGCTTCTGAACTTGGTGCTTGTAGGAGGAAATGCTATTTCTTAGTGTGTCTAAGTAGTGAAGTATACCAACATAACATAGTCAAGTTGTTCATCCTTTTGTGCGTCAAAAGGAGATGTCTTTCATCTTTTATCTGTTAAGAGAAATGGTTTCTAATTTCAATCCTTATTTCTCTATTGTAAATTATTACTTATTTTAGTGGAAAGGTTAATTCCTCTTTTGGAGAGATTAGTAACTGAAGTAGGGTCTTTTTTATCCAAACTAGTATAAAAATTACTTGTGTAATTTTTCTCTTCCTTTCTCTCCTTTGTTTATTTGCTTTTATTCAAATTAATTTTTCAGATTTATTAAAGAAATTTTTAAAAGCAAAAATATGTTAAAAAGAAGCAATTTTTTAACTTAAAAGAATCACCCCTCCCCTCTTGGTTTTGTCCAAACGCGCTTTTAAACTTTCCACTGCATGATATCGATTCCAACAATTGGTATCAAAGCTTGCTTTGATATTCTTTCAAAATTTTCAAAAATGGCTGAACAAAGTCAAGTGTATGCTGAGGGTGCTTCAATTGTAAGACCTCCTTTGTGTAGGGGGAAAAATTATGTTTTTTGGAAAGTAAGAATGCAAATTTTTTTGAAGTCTATTGATAGGGTATTTGGGAAATTATTTTGAATGGACCCATTGTTCTCACCATTAATGTAAATGATATGCAGGAAGACAAACCTTATTTAAATGGACTGTGGATGAAAACAAAATGGCACAATATCATGTTAGGGCCAAAAATATAATTTTACATGTTCTAACCCTTCAAGAATTATACAAGGTTTCTGTTTATGAAAGTGCTCAAGAAATGTGAGAATTTTTAAGAGTCACTCATGATGAAGGCACAAATGTTGTAAAGTTAACATTTTTTTTATTCAAGGTTTGCATCAAGCTCCTCAAACTCAAGCGATTCTAATTAGCAAGAAAATCTATGCCTAATGGCCAATAATGAATCATTTGGAAGCCAAGGAAGTATATCTAGCTATAATTATGATAATGATTATACTGAACTACATGATGCTTTTCAACAATTATTGCATGAATCTCAAAAGTTAGATGTTGCTCATAAGAAATTAAAAAATTAGTTTAAAAAGTTGCAATTAAAATTTTTGAAAAATCTATAGAAGATGAAAAAGGTTTGAAAATAAAATTTAAGATCTAGAAAAGAAAAATGTTTCAGATGTTGAAAGTGAGTCATGTAAGAGTCACATGTTTGATATTGATATTCTTGAGAATTTGCTTAAAGAGGAAACTAAAAATAAAAATCTTGAAAAACCAAATTTTGATAAAAAAAAAGACTTTAATAAAAATAAGCAAGCTCCTAAGAATAAGAATAAGAGAGCCCATAGGGTATGGGTTGAAAAATGAACAACTTATTATAAGAACCCAAATGTTGTCACATTGCATGAAAAAGGGGCATGCATCTAACAAATGTAGGATCAAACATTTTGATGTTCCTAAGGGAAAATATGTTTGGATTCCTGTTATAAAGTAATTTGTCTATAACCTTAAAGGATCCAAAAAAAATTTTGGGGACCAAAACTTTATTGTTTTGTTTTACAGGTTAAATTTTCCAAAGGCAAATAAGGCTCTATGGTATCCTGGTAAATTTTAAGAGCTTTAAAGTGATTTATGAATCTTAGATATGTCTTAAGTGCCCAAAAAGAGTTAAAATAGCGTTTTTCGGAAATTAATGCACAATAATCGATTATCAAGGGTGATAATCGATTATCAAGGTTTTAAAATATTCATTTTGGCTCCAACATACAAATTTGGTTCGGGAGTGATAATCTATCAAGAGTGATAATCAATTGTCTTAAGTTATAACGTAACAAAAAAATTAAAACTTAAGAATTTGTTTTAGATTTGAAGGGAAATATTATGTTTAGGGGGAATAATTTTAATGATTTAAAAGGACCTAAATTCTTTTTGAATTAACTAATTTAGGGAGAGCATAAAGATTATATGATTTTTTTTATTATGATAAAAAAGGGGAGAAATTTTT